CCCTCTGCAATTTCAAGTGGCACCATGAATTATTAAGAAATATTATTCAAAAAAGGGGGTTAGGGCCCATTAGCCCCTTGGGTACGCACCAGGTTGCACTCTCTGCGTCAAAGGTCTAGACATGCCTATGCATACATTTTTTGTAACTTAATCCCGAAAACGACAGGTAATTTATTTATTTATGAATAAGAGGTCTAAGCGCGTAGCAATTATATTATAAATACGTAAATAAATAATTAAATATGGTGTTTTTACAACTTAGGTATCTTTAACTTAAAAAATAATACGATAGTTTCCAAATAATTAGAGTATTGTGTTTTAAATTTGTAAAATAAAGCTGATGCCTAGCTTAAAACATTTTTAAGATATTCAACCCATCCAATGTTATATTGATATATTAATTTCCAATTAATATAAACTAATAATGTTTAATTCGTGTAATTTTTTACAAATATAGTTTAATTATACTTTAACAGTTTAGTTTGCCATAATGTGAAATGTTTTTATAATACTAAAGGAACAACTTAATTTGATTTTCAAAAGTCATCACTTTCCACAAGAATATTAATAAATGTAGGTATAAGTAATATGTTCGACAAAATATAATGAACAAGTAGGTACCTACCTTATAATATTTTAATATACAATGGAAATTAACGTAGATCAAATACATAAGATAAATACTATTGCTATTTACGTATATATTAAATCGTTTATTAGTTTATTAATTTATTGAAATAGAAATGTATAATATTAAATACTTGTTGCCTAAATGGGTGATCATGAAAACTAAATAAATGTCATCGGAAAAAAATTACGATAGGATTCTCATAACCAAGAGCACCTATTGCAAGGGTGAGCTTAGGTACTCGTTGAACTTCAAGTATGCATAACTAAAAGTAACATCTAACAGCTACAAGGGCTTTACGTTCAATATTTCATCATTTACCACAAGGGAACAATAACGAAACTTTAAATGCCATTTATTTGATAAAAGGTCCCCAAAGGTCCGAGTACCATGCCAAAATGTTCAGATAGGTTTTAACTTTATCACACACTATACAACTTCTTTCACAGGTCATTCGCGTGTTGAAATAAAATCTATAATAAAATTTGAGTATTAGTTTTGATTTGTTTAATAAACCATTAGAAGTTGTGGTCTACAGCTGTCGTACGAAAAATGTCAAAAGCTGCATAATATTATTTATTTATACTCATATTTTACATAATATTATTATATATTTATACAGTCATATATAGGTAGACGGGTGGTCCGAATATCCAATAATTCGTAAATAACTGAAAATGTCTGCTAATACCCAATTTATCAAATAGCTAAAATGCTTAACCCAAAAATGAATTATACTTATATATTTTATACAATCATGATTTATCATGTTTAAAATGTATCAGCATATTAATGCTCTGACAAATTTAATAAAAGCAATATTAACATTTATCAATACCTACTATAACGTGTGATATATATGTAATTATAGTGATATGTAGGGCTMGGAAGTTGATTTTGYATTTTTTTTTGGAACTTTTTAGACGATACTCTCCTGGCTACAAATCTGTTTCATAAGCATGTGAATCTGAATAACTAATTTTTATTTTGCATTTTTTGGTGTTTATTACTTTTT